GACGGCACTTAACAACAACAACAATACTAGTTATATAGGGGTGACAATGACTCTAGTGAGGTATGTACACCACAGAATGGGCAATTATTTGAGGTAAAGGGCAGCATTTAACAAATGACAAAATTTAGAAAGGTTGGGAAAGAAGCAGGAATAGAAATAAGAAACACAGGAAGGAAATGGGATAAGTGATTTGACACTGAGGGGATGAAAATAGAGATTAAATGAAGTGTACAATATGTTGAATGCAAAATTGATGGTCTGTGCTGTAAACCTTCTTTCACTCAATTTACAATAGAAAGCTAAAGGGACAAAAAGAGAGAGCTATGCCAATGGAACAATAAGGTACTACAGAAATTTCTGAAGTTTTAGGTTAAATTAAGTAATCACTTTAGAGAGACTCATTCTATTAACTTACTTATATTCTAGTATTTTCATAGAAAACACTTCTCAAGAAATTGAGAGAGAAATTAATTTACTTGAAAGTTTTGTCTGATTTCATGTGGAATCAATCTGGAATGCAAAGAAAGAAGAGTATTTCTTTCTCCTTTTTCTGAGATTTACAAAGCAGATACAACAATGAAAGTTTCTGAATTAAAACATTTTACCCAAAGTGCAGACTTACCTGTATCCCAGCATGGCTACAGAGGTAAAAATCAAACTCATATGGGTGTGTGATGTCTGTATCAACTGTTGTTCCAGCTGGAATATTGCCACTTCTTCCAACCTAGAATTGTTTTGACAAACATGATAAAGAACATGTCTGAAGGAATTCAAAATAATGCATAAAAATCGGCTGAGCCCATGTTTCCACTACTTTCAGCAAGCGCTAGGAACAGACCTTATTCTAATCTTAGTTCCTATTCTTTTTATTCTTTTAATTTGCTTTTACTTTTATCTTATGCTGAATTTACTCCCAAGACATAATTTTTTTTTTCAGTTTCTTCTGGGACTACCTTTTTTTTTGCTACACATTTCCTCTTGTGGTTTAAGAATGTGTTCCTTTTTAGGAGATGCTCTGTGGCTGGGGGAGATCATGCACCAAACATCTTGAGGGTTTTGTTCACCTGGCTGTGCTTGATGACCTCTAAACCCTTAGGTTCAGTATTACTCTGCATTGTTAAGCTTGAGCAGCAAAAATTCAGCACCCTTTTTGGGCTATCAACCCTGAGTCAAATCCCACTATTTGGCCCAGGCACACCTACCAACTCCATTACTGTAATGTTTGAAAGATTCACATTGCTTTTGTAAAGTGACATACTTTAGAACTTTGGTGACTTTTTAGGTCTGTATACCTTTGGCAAACAACAAGGCACCAGGAATTGATGGAATAAATATTGAAATCTTTCAAGAAAGTGAGGCGGCACAGAAGGCACTCACTCATCTCTGCCAAAAAACTTGTCAGACAACTATCTGGCCGACTGATTGGAAGAGATCCATATTTGTGCCCATTTCAAAGAGAGGTGACCCAATGGAATGCGGAAATCATTGGACAATCTCTTTGATATCTCATGTGAGTAAAGTTTTGCTGAAGGTAATACAGAAATGGTTACAATCATATATTGACAGAAAACTTCCAGAGGTCCAAGCTGGATTCAGAAGAGGCCGTGGAATGAGGGATATCATTGCTGATGTCCGATGGATCTCGGCTGAAAGCAGAGAATATCAGAAAGATGTTTACCTATGCTTTATTGACTATGCAAAGGCTTTCAATTGTGTTGATCATAACAAGCTATGGACAACATTGCGAAGTATGAGTATTCTGGAACACTTAATTGTGCTCATGAGGAATCTGTACCTGGGCCAAGAAGCAGTTCTTCGAACTGCGAGCACTGAATGGTTTAAAATTAGGAAAGATAAGCAACAGGATTGTATTCTTTCACCATACTAATTCAATCTGTATGCTGGTCAAAAACCAGAAGCTGGATTATATGAAGAAGACCATGGCATCAGGACTGGAGTAAGATTTATTAATGTAACCTTCATATGCAGATGGCATAACCTTGCTTGGAGAAACTGAAGAGGACTTAAAATACTTACTGATAAAGATCAAAAGCCTTCAGTGCTAAGGGAAAAAAAAAACAAAAAAAAAACAAACCTTCACAACTAAATCAATAAATAACATCATGATGAATGGAGAAAAAAATTGAAGTTGTCAGACTTGAAGTTGCCAGACTTCATTTTGCTTGGTCCACAATCATCACTCATGGAGGCAGCAGTCAAGAAATCAGACAATGTATTGTATTAGGCAAATCTGCTGTGCAAGAACTCTTTAAATTGTTCAAGAGCAAAGACAGCAAGCAGATCGAGGACTAAGGTGTGCCTGACCCAAACCATGGTATTTTCAATCGCATCATAGCATATGAAAGTTGGACAATAATAAGGAAGACTGTAGAAGAATAGATTTATTTGAATTATGGTGTTAGATAAGAACTTTAACAGTACCATGGACTGTTAGAAGAACAAACAAATCTGTCTTGGAAGAAGTACAACCAAAATGCTCCTTAGAAGCCAGGGTGGCAAGACTTTGCCTCTCGTACTTTGGCCATATTATCAGGAAGGACCAGTTTCTATAGAAGGGCATCAAACTTGATAAAGTGGAGGGTCAGCAAAACAGAGGAAGAACCCTAATAAGATGGACTGATACAGTGGCAGCAGCAAAGGGCTCAAATATAACAAAAATTGTGAGGATTGCACAGGACTGGGCAGTGTTATGCCGTTTATAGGGTTGCTATGAGTCTGAACCAACTTGATGGCACTTACCAACAACATGGATGCTTTTGGCCTAAAGACAAAGTGAGGAAAGATGAAAAAAATGACATTACAAACTGAATATGAGGAAAGAAATAAGTAAAAAAGATGATCCATTCAAACTCTTGATTTCCTATTTCTTCTACTTTAGGAATCCACCGCAGAAGCCACACTTGACACTCTGGCATCATCTTAAAACTTTTATGCTTCATAAATTTTCATTCCCTTACTATAGTGCCTTAGACATCTATCACTCCTGGTCCCTCCCTCCCACTATGCTGCTCCTCTGGCTTTTTTTTTTTGGAGTCCTTTAGACTCCAAACTCCCACCAATTAAAACAATGCAATTTATTAGCTCTTTTCTTTTTCTAACTATTTCTTTCTGGACTCCATAGTATTTTCAGGTTTCTTTGTTTGCTCAACCCCCCCCCCACCTTTTTTTTTTGTCTAAGAGCTATTTATTTACACATTTGTGCTTTGTGTTGTTTTACATGCTCACATTATGGTGGGGGTTTTTTTCAAATTAAATGTAACTTTTTGTTTAATTTCTTATGAATACAAATTTAACACAATGAAAGGGGAAGAGGAGGAGAAATAAGGACAAGTAATTACATGACACTTGTTTTCTGTGAGACCCTGTGTTATATGCTTTACTTACTTGTTGTTGTTGTTATGTGCGTGGAGTCAGTTCTGACTCATAACAACTCTGTA